TACCTTTGTAAATTGTGGTTCATTACCTTTTTTAAAAAGTGAGTTTTATTCCCCCTGTAACGCTCACTTCAAAACTTTGGGGGCCGTCCCTGGACCAAATTTTGTACCCCTGTAATCTTTTTACTACCGCCCCAGGTGGGTTGGGGTGCAAAAAAACATATTTAAAATAACTAAGAAACTTCCCGGGTAGGAGGGGGTAACTGTTTCCCAAAATGGGTTTTGGGTTTTGGGAAACAGCACTTCAAAAATAGAATTTCCCCGTTTATTGTTATTTAAATCGGGCTTGGTTGTAAACTAAGTCTTTCAATGTGGCACATCTCCACCCCCCTTTCGTTCCTATCTAAGCTTTTTTATTGTAACTATTTTTACCCGTCGTCATCCCCTATCATCCAACCAAGATTTGAGATGGTTAACTGCCGCCCAATTTTGTTAGCTAGAACCTAATCTCGCCCCTTTAGGAGAAGAGATCTTGCGTTGACATGTTAAAAGGGGCCTGTTTTCATAAAACAATTATAACTAATATATGGCAATGGGTCTTTGTTTAAAAAATTTGGTAAATCAGTCACGTTGCTAAAGGGGAACTCCCCCCAAGGAAAGGGTCCTTGGGCGCGGTGAGGGGGGTCTTGATTTAGGGAATTGGATTGTGATAAGATAAGTAGATTTCGTTCGGGTTTTTAACCCCCGGGGGTTAGCCCTCAGGATAACCCAAAAAAGTCAGTGCGTACGAGGGCTGCTAACTTTTTCCATTGGGCCTTATCTTGTCCCCCCGGATGCGACCCAACCGTCGATAATACCCCGGTACCTATTTGTGGCTGGTGAAAGGCAACAGGTGAAGGAAACGTGTCGAAGTTTCCACCCGTGGGGAAACGAACCCCGGGCCTCCCTGTGTGAAACGGGAGCTTTGCCACCGGGCCCGAAATTAACCTGAATACCTTCCACATCCCCCCACAAAAACTGTATAATCCTAGGGTTTACCCTTCCCCTTTTTTTAATAATAAAAGGTAATGCCAAAATGCTTTGTTACACACCAAATGAATTCTGGGCCCCCTTGCATAATTGTACAAATCCTCCCGCACCCACCCCTTTCATATTTTACATAAGGGCCTTTTCTGTTTTTACGTACTTTAGTAAGTGTAGCACCCGTTTTTGGTTTGAGATAATAAAGGCTTTTTGTCTCACATTGACCCTTTTATGCATTACATTGGAGTTAAGGGTTTTTCATTTTCCTGCTACTGACCGTCATTATCACCGTATTTTATCTGTCTGTTTTGCCTCTGCACAATAGTTTGAGGTCCTGGATTAATTTGGATATCACCACTTAAGAGCGCTACAACAAGAGCTGTGTGCCACTGTTTTTGTTTGGGTATGCGGTGTTGCCATACCTTGTGGCGATAGTAACATTTACTTTTCTGGTAGGATGGCAACTGTTGGGCTTTTACTGTCCAGGGCGCTGTTACTCCATTCACCTTTTCCAGCCCCCATGACTGATTTCTTTCTTCATGGAACTGAAAAAAAAGATAAATATAATTATGGCAGGCTGTACCCCCCCCCTAACCTGGAGTCTACCTGGAGGGCATTCCAGGGATCAACGTCCCTGCGGCCCGGTCCACGACCAGGCCTCCCGGTGGATCAGGGCCTGATCAACGAGGCTGTTACTGCTGGCCGCATGTAATCCAACGTACGAACCACAGCCCGGCTGATCCGGCACTGTCTTCAGGTATCTGTCCAGCTCCCTCTTGAAGACAACCAGGGGTCTTCCTGTAATGCCCCTTATTGCTGGTGGGAGGCTGTTGAACAGTCTTGGGCCCCGGACACTTATTGAGTTTTCTCTTAGTGTACCTGTGGAAAATTGAATTTATCTGAATGTAACTAATTATGTACATAACAGTAAATGATAACAAAGATAATTATTATTTATCAATGTTACATAGACAAGTAGGAATTTAGGACACCTAGGTCGCAAAAAATCCCCCCCTTCGATACCTACCACTGTCATAACCACAAGTTGCTCTGGACCTATTAATTAAATGAAATATACATACACCAGGAATACTGGTGAATATATAAATTTGTGGACTGTATATTAAAAATAAATTGTTATATATATATATATAATATATATATATATATATATATATATATATAATATATATATATATATATATATATATATATATATATATATATATATATATATATATATATATATATATATACAATTACATAACAGAAGGAAAATATATCTTAATATCACTCACCAATTTGACTGATATTAATTTGTATCATACTCAGAAAACCTCACTAACAAAAATTTATGAGAACACTGGCCAGAATTATACCAAATCTAGAGAGCTTATCTGAGGTTCCGGAGCTGTCTTGTCAGTCGTCTGAATCCAAGTTAGCAGAATGCATGTCCAACAATTTCGCCTCCATTTGAGAGGGTCACCCAAATTTTTTAAAACCCTCTAGACACGAAAATTCCTTCCTTTAAACACAAACATTGATCCCAATTCAAAACCAAATGCGTCCCTCTCGCAGACGCAGCTTCCGTTTTCTATGACATTAATATTATTAAATACAGAAAAGGCCATCAAATTACATATAAATTTCTGTTTTCCGGAAAAATATATAGAGTATTTCCACAGTACCAGTGAAGCCCCTAATTTTCAACTTGGGGGTATTTTTTGCAATCGCCTGCCATCTTTTGCTTTCTATGGAGTGATTGCTGGTGCATATTAGGAAACCAGTCCCTTCCAAAATTTCTTCCAGGTGAGAAATGAATATCTCTTCTCCCTGCGCTCTAGTGGTACAAGTCAAGTGCTTCCAGGCGCTCCCAGTAGTTAAGGTGTTTGATGGAACTTATACATGCAGTAAAGGTTCTCTGTACATTCTCTAGCTCTGAAATTTTCCCCAGTCACCTAGTACATCCTAGAAATCTCCCTTTAGCAATCAACACTGAATTACTAGTAAATTTTCTTCTCAAAACCCTCTTCACTGCTCACTTTTCCTTAACTTCAAAAACCCCCTTTCAGTTAACCCCTTATTACACACTCCACTTCCCACCTCACTTCACAGTCCGGCTTCACCTATTAACTTCTAACTCCTTTCCATTCTGGTAGACCAGAAAGGTTTAATCAATGGTTTTATCCTTCCAAATCCCCCTCAATTCCATTTATCGGGGGTTGTGTGGTGTTGTTGACTGCCTGACCTGGTCTGCTGACTCAACCATTTTTAAAACACTGAGGGAAGTAAACGCCACCTACAACCTGACTTTCCTTGAGTTTATAGATATATTTGGCGTTTTCTTCTATGATTCTCTCACTGTATACTGGTCAGCTGAATATAGGTCAGCTACTAAAACATTAACCTTGGCTGTTTAACTATTCACTTATTTCCCATGACTGTCACTGAGGGATCACTGCCCTATAACCTTGGAGTTTTGTACTGTTGATTTGACGATGTCTCCTGTGTTTCCCTCTCGTTAGCACTGGTACAGGTGATATGATGGTGGTACAGATATGATGCTACTGTCAGTACAGATGAACAGTGGGTGGTAGTCACCACATACCCATCCTGTGTGTGGTAGTCACCACATACCCATCCTGTGGGTGGTAGTCACCACATACCCATCCTGTGGGTGGTAGTCACCACATACCCATCCTGTGGGTGGTAGTCACCACATACCCATCCTGTGGGTGGTAGTCACCACATACCCATCCTGTGGGTGGTAGTCACCACATGCCCATCCTGTGGGTGGTAGTCACCACATGCCCATCCTGTGGGTGGTAGTCACCACACACCCATCCTGTGGGTGGTAGTCCCACACACCCATCCTGGGGTGTAGTCACCACATTTCCCATCCTGTGGGTGGTAGTCACCACGTACCCATCCCGTGGGTGGAGTCACTACATACCCATCCTGTGGGTGGTAGTCACCACATACCCATTTCCCGTGGGTTTGGGAGTCACCACATAAACCCCTCCTGTGGGTGGTAGTCACCACATACCCATCCTGTGGGTGTTAATTTACTACATACCCATCCTGTGGGTGGTAGTCACCACATACCCACCTGTGGGTGGTTTGTCACCACATCCCATCCTGTGGGGGAAGTCACCACATACCCATTCTGTGGGTGGTAGTCACTATGTACCCATCCTGTGGGTGGTAGTCACTGCGTACCCATCCTGTGGGTGGTAGTCACCACATACCCATCCTGTGGGTGGTAGTCACCACATACCCATCCTGTGGGTGGTAGTCACCACATACCCATCCTGTGGGTGGTAATCACTACATACCCATCCTGTGGGTGGTAGTCACCACATACCCATCCTGTGGGTGGTAGTCACCACATACCCATCCTGTGGGTGGAAGTCACCACATACCCATTCTGTGGGTGGTAGTCACTATGTACCCATCCTGTGGGTGGTAGTCACTGCGTACCCATCCTGTGGGTGGTAGTCACCACATACCCATCCTGTGGGTGGTAGTCACCACATACCCATCCTGTGGGTGGTAGTCACCACATACTCATCCTGTGGGGGGTAGTCACCACATACCCATCCTGTGGGTGGTAGTCACCACATACCCATCCTGTGGGTGGTAGTCACCACATACCCATCCTGTGGGTGGTAGTCACCACATACCCATCCTGTGGGTGGTAGTCACCACATACCCATCCTGTGGGTGGTAGTCATAAGATTACAAAGGTACATAATGGGTCCAGTGACTGGACGCCAAAGTTATAATAGCTGAACAAGTTACAAAAGTATGTAAAGTAAAAGGACACAAGTGCAACTAATGTGACATTTATTGTGGCAACGTTTCGCTCTCCAGGAGCTTGATAAAGCTCCTGGAGAGCGAAACGTTGCCACAATAAATGTCACATTAGTTGCACTTGTGTCCTTTTACTTTACATATTGTCGGTAATTCTACCAACTTTATTACAAGTTACAAAAGTAATGAACACCAGGTAGATGAAGTCACAATCATGAACAAGTTAAAAGTTACATTGTAACTTTTTCAAAGAATGAAAATTTGCATTTGTAGTCAGTTGATGGTCGCCCTTGACAACCCCAACAATGTTAATAATTTCACACACGCTTGACAAGGACACCTTCATATAACCTTTACTCTCAGTTGAGGTCAGTAACTATTAAGGGACGACCTTGAAAGTGTTTCATAGTCTATATAAAATAAGTGTGAGATGTAATAGGTCTTGTTAAAAGCTCGATGAGAGAATAATGTGGTGAGAGTAGCCATGACAGGACTCACACCAGTATCTTCAAGTTGGGGAAATTTAGATTATTTACATTTAGAGAGGATATAGGAAAGTACTGTTTTGAAAACTAGAATTTTAGATGAGTGGAACAAACTTCCAGGTTAGTGTCAGTGAGGTAAGAACTGTGAATAGCTGGAAAATATAGACTGAACAGGTACGTGAGTGTGGGGAGTTATCCTAGGTAATTTATACTATGATAATTGTACTTATGTGTACCTGTGTCTAAATAAACTTACATACTTGACTGGTCCTCCTCAAATCCTACCTCTCTCACTCAAATATTGGTCCTACACATTCTTAAAACTACCCAAGATATACTTCAGCGAGGTAACACTTGTTCACACACACACAGTCTGTGGTTTGATCCCCTGCAAGGGTGGAAATATTGGGCGTGTTTCCTTACACCTACTGTCCCGTTCACCTAGCAAGCAAGCAGGTACCTGGTTGTTAGTTAACTGGTGTGGGTCGCATCCTGAGGGACAAGATTTAAGGACCCCAGTGTAGATAAGACAGACAGTCCCTTGATGACTCACTTTCTTGGGTTATCGTAAGTCGCTAACCCTCCAGGGTTAAAAAAAAAAAAACGAACAAAATCTTATCTTCATGTTATGCAGGTCCCACTCAAATCCATGTTATGTGGGTCCCACTCAAATCCATGCTATGTGGGTCCCACTCAGATCCATGCTATGCTGGTCCCACTCAGATACATGCTATGTGGGGTCCCATTCAGATCCGTGCTATGTGGGGTCCTATTCAGATCCATGCTATGTGGCATCCCACTCAGATCCATGCTGTGTGGGGTCCCACTCAGATCCATGCTATGTGGGTCCCACTCAGATCCATGCTATGCTGGTCCCACTCAGATCCATGCTATGCAAGTTCCACTCAGATCCATGCTATGCTGGTCCCACTCAGATACATGCTTTGTAGGGTCCCATTCAGATCCGTGCTATGTGGGGTCCTATTCAGATCCATGCTATGTGGGGTCCCATTCAGATCCATGCTATGTTGGGTCCCATTCAGATCCATGCTATGTGGGGTCCCATTCAGATCTTTGCTATGTGGCATCCCACTCAGATCCATGCTGTGTGGGGTCCCACTCAGATCCATGTTATGTGGGGTCCTGCTCAGATCCATGCTATGCTGGTCCCACTCAGATCCATGCTATGCAGGGTCCCACTCAGATCCATGCTGTGCAGGTCCCACTCAGATCCATGCTATGCAGGGTCCCACTCAGATCCATGCTATGCAGGGTCCCACTCAGATCCATGCTATGCAGATCCCACTCAGATCCATGCTATGCAGGTCCCTCTCAGATCCATGCTATGCAGGGTCCCACTCAGATCCATGCAATGCAGGTCCCACTCAAATCAATGCTATGCAGATCCCACTCAGATCCATGCTATGCAGGTCCCTCTCAGATCCATGCTATGCAGGTCCCACTCAGATCCATGCTATGCAGGTCCCACTCAGATCCATGCTATGCAGGTCCCACTCAGATCCATGCTATGCAGGTCCCTCTCAGATCCATGCTATGCAGGTCCCACTCAGATCCATGCTATGCAGGTCCCACTCAGATCCATGCTATGCAGGTCCCACTCAGATCCATGCTATGCAGGGTCCCACTCAGATCCATGCTATGCAGGGTCCCACTCTAGTCCTTCTCACTCTTCCACACTTCTAGCCTATTTTAATGCTACCTAATACAGTATTTACAGTACATAAAACATCTGCAAGTTAAGTATACATATTGACTGATTTCCATAGCCAGTATGTGCATTTACCTATGGTAATTGTGATATCTTCAGGAATACTTGTGGTCATATCTTGGTTGATAGCATCCTCGGCTCACTGAGCAGTCTGTGATCTATCCCCAGCAAGAAATGAAATGCTGGGCATGTTTCACTACATCTGCTGCCTTTGTTCACCTAGCAGTTAGTAGGTACCCGGGTGTTAGCCGCTTATTGTGGGTCACATCCAGTGGAAATATGAGACAGTCCTTGATGATGCACTGACATTATTGGGTGGCTAACTCTCCCTCCATGTTAAAAATCCAAACACTATCTTATCTTATAGCCAAAACAAAAATAAAAACAACATTCTACACATATGCAAAAGACAAATTAATGAAATATTTCCATAGAGACTAGCTGAAGGATTGGAGATCCAAAGTGCCAAATTTTTTTTTTTTATATTTTTATTTAAAACATAGAACAAATACAATAATGTATAAGAGTATAAAATTAAAAACCATACTAGACATTGCAAAACCTCTAATACACAATCTGAGTACAGAAAATAAACACCATAGATAATGGCCATATTACAACCATATAAATAACCCACAACACATCCTACAAACCCTCCTTTTACAATAATCATTATTGCCAGTGCAGAAACACAGCTGACACTTCTCCCCTCCTTAACATGTGTACAGTCCCCGTTCTAAATAACATATATTAATTTTTTTTTTATTTAAAACCAATACAGTATACATAAAAATAAAAATAAAAGGAAACAGTATGGATCTCAATCCTGAAGGTTTGGCCATTGACATAAGAAACCCAACACAAAATAAACTAACACAAATGGATTGCACCTATATACTCGCAAGATATAGCTGTATAACATACAACAATAACTTACGGCAAGAACATAGCTACAAATAAACACAGTAACAGGGTCATGAACTGACATATATAAACATTCAATGACTCAAAACCTAACTTACATATAAATTTTACATATAACATGACATATGACAAAGACTCATTACAATTGAAAAGAATATATATGAGAAAATGTAACAATTGCTTCCAGCCTTCTCATTAATCAATAAACCAAAACCTAACATCATAATCCTACTAGAACATCTACATACTTATCCCTAACATTACAGCTTTACATATACCAAAATACAAATAAACATACAAAGAAAAACAGCTTAGATCTCAAAACTGACTCATTACAGTTACAATAAACCCGTATACAAAAATCTCAGACACAAAAGGAATGCGTCTATAAACTGGCTAGATATATCTGTATACCATACAGCCAAAACCTGCGTCAAGAACATAGCCATGAAAAACCAATATCAGGGTGCTGACAGTCTATAAGTACATCTTAACATACAAAAACCTAGAACATAACATAAACTAAAAAACACTTCATATGGCAAAGAACAATACCATTGTATAATGCTATACAAAGTACATTGAAATGACAAATGAAACAAAGTAACGAAAAGGGAACATACAACAAGCATGTGTTGAATACATATAAACCTACACATCACATACACCACAGTACTATCTTTGTATAACACCTTCGAGGACAAAAGGAGAATCCAGACATACTTAGATCATGTCGTGTGTCACCTCAAACCATCAAACACACAAATACTGTGAGATGTACCCTCTCACACATTATACACACAATAATGTAGTGCAACAACACTACTTACATATTATATTCAATACCTTCTTAAAAACAATGTGAAAAACATATCTTACACAACTACCCAGACCAAACTCACATCACAAAAGAAGCTTATTTATTATATTACCAAACATACCACACACGCTAACATCTATAAACATTTCATACTCAAGAAAACTAGCCCGCCGCAACCCCTTACTTTACACTTAAATCTCTTAAATCCTTCAACCTAAATCTACGATAACCTTCAGTAAATGCTGTTTACCTGGAGAGAGTTCCGGGGGTCAACGCCCCCGCGGCCTGGTCTATGACCAGGCCTCCTGGTGGATCAGAGCCTGATCAACCAGGCTGTTGCTGCTGGCTGCACGCAAACCAACGTACGAGCCACAGCCCGGCTGGTCAGGAACCGACTTTAGGTGCTTGTCCAGTGCCAGCTTGAAGATTGCCAGGGATCTGTTGGTAATCCCCCTTATGTATGCTGGGAGGCAGTTGAACAGTCTCGGGCCCCTGACACTTATTGTATGGTCTCTTAACGTGCTAGTGACACCCCTGCTTTTCATTGGGGGGATGTTGCATCGTCTGCCAAGTCTTTTGCTTTCGTAGTGAGTGATTTTCGTGTGCAAGTTCAGTACTAGTCCCTCTAGGATTTTCCAGGTGTATATAATCATGTATCTCTCCCGCCTGCGTTCCAGGGAATACAGTTTTAGGAACCTCAAGCGCTCCCAGTAATTGAGGTGTTTTATCTCCGTTATGCGCGCCGTGAAGGTTCTCTGTACATTTTCTAGGTCAGCAATTTCACCTGCCTTGAAAGGTGCTGTTAGTGTGCAGCAATATTCCAGCCTAGATAGAACAAGTGACCTGAAGAGTGTCATCATGGGCTTGGCCTCCCTAGTTTTGAAGGTTCTCATTATCCATCCTGTCATTTTTCTAGCAGATGCGATTGATACAATGTTATGGTCCTTGAAGGTGAGATCCTCCGACATGATCACTCCCAGGTCTTTGACGTTGGGTGTTTCGCTCTATTTTGTGGCCAGAATTTGTTTTGTACTCTGGTGAAGATTTAATTTCCTCGTGTTTACCATATCTGAGTAATTGAAATTTCTCATCGTTGAACTTCATATTGTTTTCTGCAGCCCACTGAAAGATTTGGTTGATGTCCGCCTGGAGCCTTGCAGTGTCTGCAATGGAAGACACTGTCATGCAGATTCGGGTGTCATCTGCAAAGGAAGACACGGTGCTGTGGCTGACATCCTTGTCTATGTCGGATATGAGGATGAGGAACAAGATGGGAGCGAGTACTGTGCCTTGTGGAACAGAGCTTTTCACCGTAGCTGCCTCGGACTTTACTCTGTTGACGACTACTCTCTGTGTTCTGTTAGTGAGGAAATTATAGATCCATCGACCGACTTTTCCTGTTATTCCTTTAGCACGCATTTTGTGCGCTGTTACGCCATGGTCACACTTGTCGAAGGCTTTTGTAAAGTCTGTATATATTACATCTGCATTCTTTTTTATCTTCTAGTGCATTTAGGACCTTGTCGTAGTGATCCAATAGTTGAGACAGACAGGAGCGACCTGTTCTAAACCCATGTTGCCCTGGGTTGTGTAACTGATGGGTTTCTAGATGGGTGGTGATCTTGCTTCTTAGGACCCTTTCAAAGATTTTTATGATATGGGATGTTAGTGCTATCGGTCTGTAGTTCTTTGCTGTTGCTTTACTGCCCCCTTTGTGGAGTGGGGCTATGTCTGTTGTTTTTAGTAACTGTGGGACGACCCCCGTGTCCATGCTCCCTCTCCATAGGATGGAAAAGGCTCGTGATAGGGGCTTCTTGCAGTTCTTGATGAACACGGAGTTCCAAGAGTCTGGCCCTGGGGCAGAGTGCATGGGCATGCCATTTATCGCCTGTTCGAAGTCATTTGGCGTCAGGATAACATCGGATAGGCTTGTGTTAACCAAATTTTGTGGCTCTCTCATAAAAAATTAATTTTGATCTTTGACTCTCAGTCTGGTTAGCGGCTTGCTAAAAACTGAGTCATATTGGGACTTGAGTAGCTCACTCATTTCCTTGCTGTCATCTGTGTAGGACCCATCTTGTTTAAGTAGGGGCCCAATACTGGACGTTGTTCTCGAATTTGATTTGGCATAGGAGAAGAAATACTTTGGGTTTCTTTCGATTTCATTTATGGCTTTTAGTTCTTCCCGCGATTCCTGACTCCTATAAGATTCCTTTAGCTTAAGTTCGATGCTTGCTATTTCTCTGACCAGTGTCTCCCTACGCATTTCAGATATATTGACCTCTTTTAGCCGCTCTGTTATTCTTTTCCATCGCCTGTAAAGGGAGCGCCTGTCTCTTTCTATTGTACATCTACTCCTCCTTTTTCTTAGAGGAATAAGCCTTGTGCATACATTGAGTGCCACCAAGTTAATCTGTTCTAGGCATAAGTTGGGGTCTGTGTTGCTTAGTATATCTTCCCAGGTTATATCGGTTAGGACTTGGTTTACTTGGTCCCACTTTGTTTTTGTTATTGAAGTTGAATTTGGTGAATGCTCCCTCATGACTAGTCTCATTATGTCGGTCTGGGGCTCCACGCATACATGTCTGAACCTCAATTATGTTGTGATCTGAGTATATTGTTTTTGATATGGTGACATTTCTTATCAGATCATCATTGTTAGTGAAGATGAGGTCTAGTGTATTCCCAGTGTCTCCCATCTTCCCCCATAAAGATCCCTATTGCGGCACTTTGTTCTATACATCGTGGCCCCTAACACTCTTGTCCTTTCCTCGACTCCCACCTCCCTCATTGCCCAAGATATATAAATAAAATCAGTAACCACATACGCAACCGCATTCACCACCTGCTGACTCCACCCACCTATATCTAAACTTAATACCTGCAACACCTGTAACCCTTCCCCACCCACTAACCTAACTACCCTACTTAGCCAGACCCTCACATCTTCTAAAGAAGTACAAAAGTACACAGCATGAAATATGGTTTCCGGACATCCACACGCTTTGCACTCCCCACCCTCCCTTAATCTCCTATTAAATAACACAACCCCAGACGGCAAGATCCCATGTAAAAACCTAAACATAACCTCCCTGACACTTGGTTTTACACGTAGTTGTTGAAGACATTTCCATACAGAACCCCATGCATACATAGGGTATGCCCCCTCAACTGCCGCCACCACAGACCCACCCCCCACCCTCTCAAGAACCTTCAATTTAAGCTGTTTCGGATCCCTTACCTTCAGTAAAACTCGCAACATAGCCTCCCCAAACATTAAATCGCTACCCCTCCACCACCGTTGCATATCCATGCGCAGTCTTTCAAGGCCCCCCCCCCCCCCCCCCCCCCCCCCCCCTCACAAACCCCCTTTTCAGAAACACACTCAACATACACTTCTCAAAAGGTATAAGCCCCAGCCCCCCCTGGCTAACGGGAAGCGACACCACCCCTCTACTTAGCCAGTCACAACCCGATCCCCATATAAATCTGAATACCCGCAGTTGCAACCGTTGCACCTCACTCCATCGTAACGGATATATTGCCACCACGTGCCATAACTTGCTATACAACAGGACATTTGTGACTATAACCCTTTGATGCAACGTTAATTGTTCTGCCCTCAAATCCTCTCAATCTTTTCAAAACTCCATCCACGGTGCGCATCGAATTTGCCATTTGTGCATCCCTATCATTCCGCATGTACACTATCCCACATATCAACAACTGATCTACCACATGCCACCCACCCTCAAAAGTCTCACAAAGTGCCAAATAAGACAAAAGGTGTACATACAGTGGAACCTCAAAAATCAAACTTAATCCGTTCCAGGAGCTAGTTCTAAATTCGAAAAGTCTGAAATTCGAAGCAATATTTCCCATAAGAAATAATGGAAATACAATTAATCCGTTCCAGAAACCCAAAAATATTCACACAAAAAATACATTTCATAGAGATTAATTACAGTTTTACATGCAACAAATGCTATAGTTTTTAATTATGTATAGTAATACATATAAAATAACATTTTTACTTACCTTTATTGAAGATTGGTGATGGCATATGGAAGATAGGGAGGAGGAGAGAGAGAGAGAGAGAGAGTTGGGGTTAGTGTTTGGAAGGAGAATCCCCCTCCATGAGGACTTCAGGTAAAGCCCTCTCTGGGGTTACTTCCCTTCTCTGTCTTTTAATGCCACTAGGACCAGCTTGAGAGTCACTGGACCCCTGTCTCACAAAATAACTGTCCACAGTCCTCTGTTTCTGGTGCCTCTTTAACATTTCCCTAAAATGGGACATGGTTCTGTCACTGAACTTGTTGCAAAGATGGCTTGTTTCACTTGTTCAGGTTTGAATTCTTCACTGTCTTTGTACCCCTTAAACTCCTGTACAAACTTCTCAGCCACCCGTTTGTCTGAACTGGCTGCCTCACCATGTCTTACAACATTGTGTATGCCACTACGCTTCTTAAATCTGTCAAACCAGCCTCTGCTGGCCTTAAATTCACTATCAGCACTGGTTCCAGGAGCTCTGTACCAGATCAGCACGCAACTTCCTTGCCTTTTCGCAAGTAATCGTCTCTGAAGCACTATCACCTGCAATCTCTTTATCCTTGATCCACACCAGCAACAACAACTCAACCTCTTCAACTATTTGTGGTCTTTTTTTTGGTTAGCATATTAACACCTTTCGCAACATCAGCTTCCTTGATTTGTTCTTTCTTTGCCAGGATAGAACCGATGGTCGACTTATTTTTCCCATACATCCTGGCAAGCTCAACAAGTCTCACACCACTCTCATACTTCTGTATTATTTCCTTCTTCACATCTATAGTGTTTCTCACTTTCTTTACCACAGGGGTACCACTAGCAAGTTTCTTTGGGCCCATGGCAGCTTATTTCACAGTCCCACAAGCATTAAACACAACGAAATAATCGTAAAATGTGTGAGTGAGAGCGCAGGTTAGCGTTCACTCAAGCATAAACAAAGCTAGACTGCTCACGGCGCCTGCGCGGGGACGCAGACAGAGCGAGCCTGCAGACATGTCCCATACCCGGCGGTCCAAAAATAGGGGCACGTTCGATAATAGGGACACCGTTTGTCCGAAAAAATGGCCCTATTTTCGAAACGTTCGATATGTGATACGTTCGATTTTTGAGGTTCCACTGTACTGTGCTTTGTTCTGAATGATGGTTTAGGAAACGAAAAGCAAAAAATCATGACAGAGAACACTATTCTAGGCTTGATCAAAGGGCATATTAAATAGAAGTGGTGATAAATGTTTTTTATGGCTTGTGTTTTTGGAATGTGAACAAGGTAACATTTATGATGGGATTCAGGGGCAACAGGTTAGCTGAATTCAAGAGTCATAGAGGTGGAAAATACAGAGCCTGCACTCTGAGGGGTTGAGGATGTTGCAGTTCAAAGGGTCGTTTGAATTGTGATATCTGTGTACTTCTGACAGGACAACTGTGAAATGAATGATGGTGAATGTGTTCTAATTTTTTTGGGTCACCTAACTACAGTAATTGCAGAATATAATGGTACAAGTCGGCCATCACTAATCCAGCATCATTGGGACCTGTAGTGTGCCGGATTAGTGAGTTTGCTGGATTACAGAGTAGTTATGTTAGAATACACTTAATTAACCTATCAATAGATAGACTTTCTGCTACATCTTCCTCATTTTCATCACTGCTTTCTCCTCCACTGGCTTGCTGCTGTGAATTTACAACCATCTGCACAATTTCTGAATCAGTATAATGATGAAATTTGAGACAGTATAATGATCTGAGTCAGTATAATGATGAAATTTGAAATTATGCTAGCCAAAATTAGTGCCAGATTACTGATGGAACCAGATAAGTGATTGCTGGATTAGTGATGGCCGACCAGTACTGTAATTGCTAACCTCCATTTTTGTTCATATTTATTATATAATCATTCTTTGTCTTTTGCAGGTTCTTAAAGTTCTGCTGTAAAAGCAAAAACTGAGTATATTATGGCTGAAGCAAATATCGAAGGTTAGTGCAGAAATTATATCATTTATTTCATGTTGCTGAATGATTGGATTAGCCTAATGTTGAGGGTTAATATTTATATCAAGTTCAGTTAGCTTAAGAACAAATTGAAGATCCTAAATAGTTATGAAGTACAGTACTGTACAAGGATGTATTATTTGTAGAAGAATAAATAAATGATAGAAAAAAACACAAAATACTTTAGTGATGGTTAATGAACACAAGCCCTTGAATAGGGTGCCTTGAAAGAGTACATAGGAAGGGTTGAATTTTTTGCTCAACTCTTTCACACAGTGCTATTTTTTTGAGTAGAATAATGCTTAGTCTGTTTATACCCTCCATACCATTCCAGTGGGAGTCTTGAAAACAGTACCAGTCCATTTGGCATTTTATAAGCGAGATTAAAAATTATATAACAAATTATTGGATTTACTAAATCAAGAATTTTCCTTAATGTTCGAGCCTTAAATAAATTAGCTAACCTAAAAAAAAAGTTCAGAGAAACTGTAGATTTGGACATGTCAAAAGAATTTCAATAGAGTTGAAACTACATTCTTGGATTATGATTCCATTGGACACAAGGGTGGCTGAGAATTTTATTGCTCACTTTTTCCTGTCAATGCTCCAGAAAAGGAGGCAGACAGCTTTCTGTTGTAAAATTGCCCAAATAAGCCACAAGTGTGTTACAAGGAATATTTTTAATTGTATCACACTGACAGCACATAACAATGTAGCTATGCACGCAAAATTTGCACAATGTAGAGTGAGCCCTTGATTTAATGGACTGATAGGGGTAGGAGTTGTTGGTAAAGCTGATTTTTCTTAAATCTAGATTTTATCACTCCAGCCGTCTCCCACTGAGGTAGGGTGACCTGACAAGAACACAACACTGACATTTGTTCAATCACTGTCTTGCCAAAAGGGCGACTACATCACAGCTCAGATTCCTCTCCAAACCGCAACATCTCCACCCCTCCTTCTTCAGAGTTCAGGCACTGTATTTCCTACCTCCAGGACTCAAGTCCAACTGACTGGTTTCCCGTGAATACTTTCATAAATTTTACCTAGCTCACACTCCAACAGCATATCAAATGAAAAAAAACCACTTGGCCTCTACCACTCGTTCCTCTTTAGCATGCACACACAAGCTGGATGTCCAAGCCACTGTTTTATACTCTGCTCCTGCCTTTATTTCCTCAAACTTTCCATAATGGAATAACTGAAAATTGTCCTCTTTGAATATACTTAAGTGGGATTACTAACAATCCCTTGGCTGTCTTCAAGAAGGAACTGGACAAGTTTCTCAAGTCAGTGCCTAATCAGCTGGGTTGTGGTGCTTACATTGGACTTTATGTGGCTACCACCAACAGCCTGGTTGATCAGGTCATGCATTGGGAGGTGTGGTCTGCAACTCTCCAATAATCAATGTAACTGTATTTATGTGTACCTGTACCTGAATAAAGTTACTTACTCCAGAAAGACTCCTGGAGTACAGTAAATTGTAATGTAGATTTTTATCCACACTGCCGCCTCTCCTTCCTTCATATAGAGTCCTAAATGTAAAAAATTAAAAATATCTCTTAATTTAAATAGGAAAAATGAGAAACTAGTTTTCATTCTTAATTTTACTATTTTTAACTCTGCAAAAGAGATGGTTTAAGGAGCAAATCGCAAATACACCGTTTTTCTTGGCATCCTAAAATTAAAATAAGAAATGTAATTTACATACAGTATTTCACCATCAAATACTGTGCATATAAAAAGATGTATATATTATATTGATTTGTCTCATTGTAAGATACATTTGTCTCATATGTAAGATACATTTATGGTAGGTCAGTATACAGCACCATACTGAACTTTCATAGTTCTCTATAATAAAATTAAAAACTACAGTACAGTATCATTTTAATCATGTATTGCTTTTAGGAAAAGTAAAGTGCAAGTATGGAAATTTACAGTATTATAAAAAATAATGCAGAAACTCGTATGAACAATTTCATTTTGTTGTGGCAAATTCATGTTTGGAGCCGACTGGAGGTGACTGCATGCAGTCTTTTGCTGGAGGGTTAAATTAATACAGTACAGCAGCTTGAATTTTTGGTTTTGCTGATTAAAAGTCAGACCAGCCCAGAAAATTTTTTGAAAATTTTCTTGATAGTTTTTATACAAATTTCATAAATTTCTGTATTGAAAAATATGTGTACTATATGGAATTTTGATACAGCTGTTCCATATTAACACTATTAAACCAGTACTCAAGAAAATATGGATACCTAAACTTTCAGTAAAATAATCAAATTCAAATTTCAAATTAAAATTTATTTATTTATTTCCAAGTAGTACATTGAGATTATGTGTTTACAATAATGGGTTGCAATGCAAAGAGAGCCTCTATTATGCCTAGTTTAAAATCTAAACCAGCCATGCAATTTGATAAAAGCTTGTTAACCCATAAATGGTCCAAATAGATCTACGTTCACATGTGTAGTGCTACAAAAGTAGATCTACGTTTTTTTTTTACACATTTTCAAATATAACAAAAAAAAAAGTAGATCAAAGTTTTTTTACACATTTTCAATTGTAAAAAAACAAAAAGAAGATCTACTTTTTTTACATACTTTCAAATGTTGAAAAAACGTATACATATATACTCTACGTTTGGACCGTTTACGGGTTAAATTTATGGTACCTCATAAAAATTCTAATTATGCTTTATTATAAATTTTAATATTAACCCTTTCAGGGTTTCCGACGTACTAGTATGGCTTACACACCAGGGCTATTGACATATTAGAACGCCTAAATGCTAGTGCCATGAAATCTAGTGATAGAAAGCTGGTAGGCCTACATATGAAAGAATGGGTCTATGTGGCCAGTGTGCACAGTATAAAAAAAATCCTGCAGCACACAGTGCATAATGAGAAAAAAAAAATTTCGACCATGTTTTTGGTTTAAAACAGCGACTTTGCAGTGTATTTTCTTATGGTATTTATGGTTGTATTTTAGTTTTCTTGGTCTCCTTTTATAGAATGGAAGATATGTTACAGAAATTGAGATAATTTTGATTGGTTTTGTAATGAAAAGTACCTTGAAATTGAGCTCAAATTAGCAGAAATGTTCAATTTTTACCAAAGTTCAAAAGTAAACAAATCATGCCAAGCGTCCAATACACGTCAGCTGGCGAGTCTAATATTTTTCACAAGTATGCTGATATTATTTATACCATTTCTACCCCATTTCCACACTATTGCAGTAGTCTGCATAACAGTAAATCTTCTATTTTTTGTGAGAATAAAAATTCAAAGTGGAAAGCAAAAGAGATGTAAGAGGGGCCTGGGGACATGACTAATGAACAGAGAAAATTTTATTTTAGTGCCAGGAATGTCTGTCTTGTTTATTCTGGACCCTATTTGGAAATTGGCATCTTTTGAAATTTGTGTGAAATTGGCAAAATTGCCAATTTCTGACACTTTATTGGATAGTTGAAATCGGTAAATGGGTGCTTTCTTGTACTCATTCAATAGAAAAAATGGAGTTCTAGCGAAATAGATATGATTTTTGTCGACTAGTACACTGGAATTGACTGAAAATAGGGCTCAAAATAGGCAAAATTACCAATGCGTTAACATCGTCGAGACTGCTAACTTCGCGAGAGCATAATTCTGTAAGTTTTCCATCAAATTTCATACTTTTAGTGTCATTATGATCGGGAAAAGATTCTCTATCATTTCACAAAAAAAAAATTTCCAAAAAATTTTCGACCCTGAGAACGAGTTTAGGAGAGGGCCTCTCAACCCTGAAAGGGTTAATGCTATTGGAGCAATATTTCAGTAAATACTTCGACATAAATTTTTTGGACAATGGTCACTAGTCTATAAACTTACAAATCCACAAGTTCTTGGCCTTCTCTAAAATTAAAAAAATAATGGAATGGGTATTTCACTGGCTTTAGTCCTTGGTCTGAACATCAAGTACACTACAGGGAAGGTTCCTTGATTGTAGTGAGGGGGTTCTTGATCTAAGGAATTGTACCTGTGCTCCAATTCCTTGAATCAAGTCTGAATGCCTTCCATTGCCCCAGGTGCTGTATCATCCCCTAAAGTGTTTAGTGCCCTTACAAGTACAAGTTGATTTAGAGGCAACAACAAGAGTTTTATGCTGATCACTTGTAAATTTGTCACACAGTGTTAGTGTGTTAAGACAGGAGATGGAGTGGGGTGTGTGTGTTGACAGAGGGTGAAATAGTGTGTGTGTGTTATGGGAAGTAGTGATGCAGTTACCTATTTATAGCTACAAAAGCAGAGCTATGATTGTTCATAATACAGGAGGGGCCCCGCTTATACAGCAGGTTAGGTTTTGGGTTACTGCTGTAAAGTGAAACACAGCCATTTTTCACTTTCAGATGCATACAAAAGCCTGATAACTTGTTTACACTTTCATATTGAAAGTGAGCAGTAGAGCTAGACCTAAGACTGAGAGAATATTCTCTTCCCAAGTGATAGTTCTAACACAGATTGAAGTGTCACTGAAGATGGGGAAGGCAGTGTGGGGGTGGGGAAGACAGTATGAATTAGTGTAAACAACATTGGCTGGGTGGCTGGCTTGCTGGCTGGTCAGGTGGCTGGCTGGCTGGCTGGTCAGGCAGCTGGCTGGCTGGCTGGCTGGACAAGTGGCTGGCTGGCTGGACAGGTGGCTGGCTGGCTGGTCAGGTGGCTGGCTGGCTGGTCAGGTGGCTGGCTGGCTGGTCAGGTGGCTGGCTGGCTGGTCAGGTGGCTGGCTGGTAACCTTTACAAAGAAATAAAATCTTTATCTTTACACAATGGGCTTTTTGACATCACAAACCTGACCTGACAAAGCCCACTGTGTGGACATAATGTCTTCAATAAAGGATTTCATTGCACTGCATTTGTCTTATTTTCCATTGTGTTGGTATTTTATGCAGTTTCTCTCCAACGTGATAGCTTGAGAATGATCCTTTAGATGAACCTCAAGCTTCCAAT